CTTTCCTGCATTTACTACAAAAGGGAAATAAGACATAATAAAGACTATACTCCTATATTTCATTTACAGTGTTTGAGTTCTGGAAGGACCTGTATGATAGAGGCAACATTCAAATAAGAAATTTTATGCCAATCAAATGTCAAATTTTCACTACAACTTTCCTAAGAAGGTTTTTCCCCCAAAATCTATTAATCACAAAGAAACATAAGCTGTGAATGTACAGTTCAGAAAATAAAAATGTAGAAACTAATGACATTATTATGACYAAGATGTTTGGTAAACAAGTGAATTGTGAGTTTGGGATCATCAGGAAAAGGCCTTTTAAACAACCCTCCGGACTTCAAAAAATCTCTTCAGGTAGTAGATCTGTCCCAATGTCATGGCAACTAGAACAAGAGCTTCAAAGAAGGACCAAAGGACCACTCTGCTGTTTGTGTTGTCATTGACTGTTGAGGACAAACAAACAAACAAACAAAATTTAATAACTCCACAGAAAGGCACAGGCATCATCAACTAGCTCCTAGTTGTGAGTGAATGTAACAGGTGCACACCATTCACAGTACTCTAAACACTTCTGTCCCAAGCAACTAAACACTCTCAGAGGCAGAGATTGTTAGCTTTACAAAGGACCTTAAACATTCACTGAGGGCAAGCCCACTGCACTATGTATAGCAAACCGGAAAGAAAAGAGACTTGCCCAGGTCACSCTTCTAGGGTTTATACCCAACCCAACCTCTTTTCTATCTATAGATAGAAAATGTTCTCCTGCATTATAATCTTTTTTTGGCGAATCAGAAAATTGTTTTAAAAATTTAAGGATTTATATCAAGAACATAGATTTATATAAAATGCACTATTTACACTAAGCAGAAATATGTGAACCTAAGTGTCTTTTTCCTTAAATATTTATTCAACAAATATTTACTAAGCACCTACCATGTACCTAGATGCACGAGGCTTCTCAGTTACATGGAGCAGTTACTATCAGACTGTCAATACAAGACAAACTTCTCACCATTTATCCCATTCTAAAGCTAAGAATCTGACCCTTAAAGTAAAAGCCATGACTACACTATTCATTTACTCACTCTCTCACAATCTTTGAAGTCAGAGTGACTTGTTACTAAGCTAGTCAGTATTTCCACTTTTCTGCAAATAGCCAAATATTGAAAACAATCACAATTAGCAACATTATGTTCATCAGCTGACTGACATACTCTTAGATATACACTGTTTATTAAAAGATCAACTAGATTGTAACAGCTATTGGACCATCATTCAAAAAGAAGTGAAAAGCAAYTAACATTTTTCCAAAAGGAAAACCTTATGGTTCCCTCAAAAGTTGTGCAATTTATAAGAGTAAGAACAGATACAAAATTAAAAATATAAACTAGAACTCCAAAAGCTATCAAAATCACTAAAATTTTAGAATTAATTCCATGACATGAAATTTACTTTTGCTGAAAATCTAGTAAACAATTTTTATCATAATTGTGAATGAATGCTATTTTAGTATTGTGTCTGAAAGAGGAATGGTTGAATAAATTCTTTAAAWTATTAAGCAACTATTAGTATGTTTTAGAGACACAGAAAAATGTGATTCATTTTGTTTTGTGTGAGTGGGGAATGAACCCAGTGGTGTTTTACCACTGAAATAAAGGTATTAGTGTCCATCTACAACTAAAAATATTAAAAAAAAAAAGGTATTACAACACTGAAGTAAACAAAAGATCTCACTGTGTTCATCTCTGAGGAATCAATGCTGTTGAAAAAAATATATGAAAAACAATACTGTTGGAATTAAAATGTATATCTGAAAGTTCAATTCTATAAATTACTACAGGTTGAGCATTCCTAATCCCAAAATCTGAAATGCTCCAAAACCCCAAATTATTTGTGCTCTAATGCAAGGCTWAAAAGTTTCACAGTCCCAGCCAGATGCAGTGGCACATGCCTGTAGTGGCTCAGGAAGCCAAGGAAAGAGCGCTCGAAGTTCAAGGTCAGTCTCAGGAACTCAGTGAGGGCCTAAGCAACTTAGTGAGACCCTGTCTTAAAAATAAAAAATAAGTGATAGGGTTGTAGCTCAGTGGTAGAGCACTTACCTAGCATGTGTGAGGCACTGGGTTTGATTCTCAACACTGCACATAGATAAGTAAAATAAAGGTCTACTGACAACTAAAAAAAATATATATATATATATATATATATATAATTAAAAAAAAAAAAAAAACCTGCAAAGCAGTGAATGCCCTTAGCTCTTTGATTTTCTTCAGGGCCCTTCCCATCCAAGAATGGGCTGGCTCCAACCTGGGAGCAAGTCAACCAACAAATAGGTCCCTAGCCATCCCTGAGGGTAAGGAGATGGAGAGTGGTAGGGGAGGATRTAGACAAACTGCTCCTTTTTGAGTGCCTCCTCCTTCCACTCCCTATCCCAAACTCAGAAAAAAGAATCCCAATTTAAATTGCTGTGCACATACAGATAAGAGCTTGCTCCCATTGAAATCTATCCCCAGGAGCTACTTGGACAATGAAAGACACAAGAACAGGTGTGGACCTGGTATAAAATATGGTATCTGGTCTGTGTGTCAACAGGGCACCTGTTAATTTTAAATGCAAAAACATAATATTTAATGCTCTATCTTGTATCAATCAAATTTTTGCAACCTACCACAAACTCCAATCACTTTTTCCACAGAAAAATGTATTCCAAATTTCTAATTTACAAAATGGTGATCCCAAACTGATCTTTTTCTGGATACTTGCTTACATTATGTTTGGTGTTTTCTATTCTTTTTTTTTTTTTTTTTAATTTTTAGTTGTAGATGAACACAATACCTTTATTTTTATGTGGTGCTGAGGACTGAACCCAGTGCCTCACACATGCTAGGCAAGTGCTCGACCACTAAGCCACAGCTGCACACCATGTTTTTTCCTATTCTAACTAGAGTTAATCTTCTTCAATTTTAGGGAATAAAATGTTAAATTTTAGTGTCTGGTATAGGTTTCAGGTACATGACTAAAAAGTAATAAAATATCAATTTACAGTGGTTTTCCCTGCTGCTCTGCTTATTCCTTAGCTAATCAGAAGATTTTAAATTTTCTTAAAATTTAAAAGCTCTTTAAAGCTTATGCTCAATCTTTTTGTAATTTTTTTTTTTTTGTAGTTGTAGATGGACAACTTGTTTAAGGTTCAAATCCAGTGGCAAGCACTATGCTACTGAGCCCCAGCCCTTATTCTCAATCTTAAAAAAAAAAAAAAAAAAAAAAAAAACTTTTATTTTTATGTGGTGCTGAAGATCAAACCCAGTGCCTCACACATGCTAGGCAAGCATTCTCCTGCTGAGCCACAACCCCAACCCCTTACTCAATCTTTATAGCATTTTGTGATATAGAACAAATGTCCTGATAATAATAAACTAGTTTAGAATAAAGTTCTACAAATGTGTATACTCAAAAAACATCTTTATGTAGGTGATTTTTTTTAAAGTCAAAGTTTTAGCACATTATGTCTGCTGGCTGCTGGGTGCAGCCCTTCAACATGGGATACTGCCACAAAGATAAACCAGTACTCACTGGCTCTGTGTATCCTCTCCCGGACTTCCATGTACTCCTGTTCGTGCTTTACAGCTGTCATTGCCACTGCCAGTTCATTAATCATTTCTTCTAGCTTGTTCTGGTGAGCTACAGAAGGATTTGAAAAGAGATTAGCATACATCTGTCAATCTCTTTTGATAACTACTTTTTACATAATATTCTTCAGAGAAGGTATAGAAAGGAAGCAACTTTYAGAAATGTGGTTCAAACATCAATTAAACCACTGAGGACAATTAATTATCTGAGCATTTTCCAAGGCCCATTCCCAGTAGAAAAACCTCTTTCAGAGTAAGAAACATACCATATAATGCTTCCTAAGTAAAAATTTCCCTAAGAAATTTCTTCTAGTCAAATGCTGCTGTTGTTTACTATACTAACAAAAAAGTAAAAGATTGAGAAAGAAAATATACAGAAAAAAAAATAGATATATATATCTGCCAGGTGCAATGGCACAGGTCTATAATCCCAGTTACTACAGAGACTGAGACAGGAAGATGATAAGTTCAAGGCCAACATGAGCAAATTATTGACGTGCTGAAGATGTAGCTCAGTGGTAGAGCACTTACTTGCCTAGTGTGGGAAGCCCTAGGTTCAAACCAAATCCAGTGCCACAAAAAAAGTAAGTCCTATAAGTAACAATAAAATATGGGGCTGGGGTTGTAGCTCAGTGGTAGAGCGCTTGCCTAGCATATGTGAGACACCGGGTTCGCTCTTCAGGACCACATAAAAATAAAAAGATAAAATATTGTGTCCATCTGCAACTGAAAATATTTTTAAAAAAACAAGAATGGGCTGAGGTTATGGCTCAGTGGTAGAGCACTCACCTCGAACATTCGAGGCCCTGGGTTCAATCCTTAGCACCACATAAAAATAAATAAATAACTAAAATAAAGTTATTGTGTACAACTACAAAAACACTTAAAAAAAGACAATAAGAAAAAGTACAAGGTACTTTAAAAAGAAACAATAAAATATAACTGAAATCTACTTAAATTCTTTTTTTTTATTTGTTGATGGATCTTTATTTACTTATGTGCAGTACTGAGACTCAAAACCAGTGCCATCACTTAACTTGATGGGCCTGGTGGCACATTCCTGTAAATCCCAGAGACTTGGGAGTCTGGGGGATTAACAAGGTCCAGGCCAGCCTTAGAAATTTAGCAAGGTCCTAAGCAACTTAGCCAGACCCTATCTCAAAAATAAAAAGGGCTGGGGATGATGTGGCTCAGTGGTTAAGTGTTCCCGAGTTCAATCCCCAGTACAAAAAAAAGAATAACATAACTCTAATGTTAACTTAGGAGCAGTACCCAAACAGACTTTTAAACTCTATGTACCTGGACAGGGAAAAACAGGAAGACACACTTAGGAAACTCRGAACCAACTCTAACATTCATCTGTGACAAAGTAATTATGTCACTATAGTGAAGAACAGCAAGCACTGTAAGTAAAGCAAGTCTCTCAGCTGCACAAGTCTGCAACAAAGTATCCTCTTTTATCAAAAATGAAAACAAGATACTGTTCCTTAAAAATATGCTTCTGGGTAGTGCTATATTAGAACAAGGAAAAAAAGGCAGGAAAGAAATAGTACAAGGAAAAACTCCAAGGGGAAGGGGAGAATCTCTTCACTCTTGCCCAAATCTGGGATTCCAGTTTACAATGGATCATCCTAAGTTTAAGAAAAATCACAGACCCCCACCATTTGAGGCAGTTCAACTGGWATCTTAAGTCACCCCTCACCAGCTTCACTATGGAAGCCCCCATGCACTCTGTGGAACCTCTAGAGCAGGGTTTCTCAGAGTAGCACTGTTGACATTTTGGACCAAGTGTCCCATGTTTACTATAAGAGCCAGCAGATGCACTGGAGGATATTTAGCAGCATCCATAGTCTCTAGCCCTTAGATGCCAGTAACATCCACCCACCTCCATCTTGTCTCGAGAACCAAAAACATTTTCAGATATTGCCAAAGATCCTTATGCAGCAGAGATCATCTCTACTCAAGAACCACTGCTTTAGAGGAAAGCTCAATTTGACAGCTGCCATTCATTGACAAGCAAAAGCAAAATTTTGTACATTGTGTTAAAGGATTACTTATTATATATTCATCAGCCAATATTTTTTAACCATTTAAATAGGACGAATTTTCAGAAAACAAACTCAAAGCCTTTTAAAACTTCTCTCTTCAAAAATTGGCTAAGCCTAGGCTGGGGTTGTGGCTCAGCAGTAGAGCGCTCGCCTAGCATGGGCAAGGCCTTGGGTTCGATCCTCAGCAACATATAAAAAATAAATAAAATAAAAATAAAGGTATTGTGTCCAACTACAACTAAAAAATAAATAATTTTTAAAAATTGGCTGAGCCTGCCAGGCACAGTGCACATACTCATAATTCCAGCAACTAGGGGAGCTGAGGCAGGATTGCAAATTCCAGGTCAGCCTCAGCAACTTAGCAAGACCCTAAGCAACTTAGCAAGACRCTACCTCAAAATAAAAAATGAAAAGGGCTGGAAACATGGCACAGTGATTAAGCACCTCTGGGTTCAATCCTCAGTACCAAAATAAAACAAGGGGAAAAAAAAAGAATTAACCAACTCAACTTTRTAAATAGTCCTGAAAAATGAACAAAAGAATGAACAAAAGAACTACGTGGTACAATTCTCTAGATTCTGAAGATTTCAAATCCTAACAAAACTCTTTACCTTCTTTATGATGCTAGTACTCTACTAACTGTTCAATATCTGGGATATAAGTTATCATGCTAATACTATAATCCATGTTAAACTGCTGGTTTCCAAAAACCTAGCATGTASTGTGGCAACAAAAATTTTTTAAATGTGCAAGCAATTTATCCTAATCAGAGTTCACTGCTGGTCAGTTGAGCAATGAACAACCTAACTGAACATATGACCAAAGAATTTCTCATCTTAGCTACAAATGCTTCCAAATGAATTTTATAATTTTTTTTTTAGTTATACATGGACATGATATCTTTGTTTATTTTTATGTGGTACTGAGGATCAAACCCATTGCCTCACATGCTTGAGGCAWGCGCTCTGCCACTAAGCCACAGCCCCAGCACCCAACTGCATTTTATATCCAACCAAGCTTCAAGTTAGAAACTTCAATAGTAAACAAGCATATAAAACATCTTCTATGAYGTCAAAAGCACCTCTTGCAATAAGCTATATTTAATCAAGACTTTTTCTTATCTAGTTACAATTGCATCTTTCCATCTTTGAATATTCATTTTAAAGAAACAAAGATGTTCCTACTAAAATGTCAATCATCAGCTGCTAAGGACTTAGTGTTATTAGTTTAAAATAACCTAGCCTATATCTCCTGTCAATGAAGTAAAAAACAACCTAATTAGTTGTACTTTTTTTTTTAAGAGAAAAAACACTCTCATGCCACAAACTGAGGTTAGAGAAAAAGAAATCATAAATTAGACATTAGCAAACAAAAAGATGCAAAAAGACAGGATGCTATCAAAAAACAATCCACATACCATCCCAGGTATCTCCACCACCTAAAGAAAAGTGTAAAATATGAACAGAAAAGGCAACAGAAAGTTTAGCTAATCTAGTCATGTCTACAAATGTGCAATTGAAGATTATATATATGCCAGTATTAACAAATTAACAGAACAACATAAGACACATACAAACTAAGTAATCACAAGAACACAGAGACAGAAAAGCTGCCAGAGGGGCAACCATAAAGAAAGAAAAATTAAATATTAACTTTGAAAAACTATGTTAATTAGGGGACCTGCACAGGTAAAGACATTTCACATAAGGTTTTTGGTTTAACAGTTAATGAACCTGGAATAAGAAAAAAATAAGTACTCCATTCAGATGGATAAAAGTGTATAGAATTAAAATTAGAATGTAATACCATCTTTCAACTATTCATCTCACCTTCTGTTTCCATGTCTTGTCCTTTTGGAGCCTCCCCAATGTCAATGGTGAACATCACTATCTTGGGAGTCATGGTAGACATCCTATTACTAAAACAAAACTTGTATGTTCCATCCATGTGAGCAGCAAATGTGWACTTCCCACTGGACTCTCGGTCTCCTTTATAAATTCCTTTATTGTCAGGTCCTGTAATCTGGAGGCAGGAGAGAAATACATAAAATGTCACAAAAGATCTCAAAAATCAAACTTTGTAAGAAGGGTCTATCAGTAGTAGGAAATTTACTAATATGTAACTTTCACTTAACTCAAATTACAGTAACCACTCAATTCCAATTCTCCCACTTAATGAGACAATGGTGAACTAGACTGCACTCTAAAGCACCTTTTAGCTCCTATCACATTTGTGTCTTATTTGTCCAACTAAAACTTGCAACTCTCAGAAACAGAAACCACACCTCACCCATGATCTCAAACTGGCCTAATGCCATCAATAATATGTCACTTGTATGGCTGATGTTGAAATCCAAGAGAAAAAAAAAAATCTCTTTAGAATTATTTTCTTTGAAGTACTAGGGACTGAACTCAGAACAACATATGTGACAGGTAAACACTTTAACAATGAGCGACCTCTCCAGAGCTTTTTATTTTCATTCAAGGTCTTTCTGGGTTGCCAGGGTGGTCTGGAACTCGMAATCCTCCTGCCTCAGCCTCCCCAGTAGTTGGGCTTACAGGCCTGTGCCACCTACACCCAGCTGAAATGTGTAATTTTTACAAAGTCACGTTTGAAGGTTCTACTGCCAGAAAAAACAAAGGAATGTGCTTTATTTGATATGCCCGTGACGGCTTCGGGAAAGAAAAAAAATACTAATGTTAAAATTAGAAGACCCAAATTCTCATCTCAGCTTATTAAAATAGAAAGCCTCTTTCAYCTATAAAACAGGAGGCCAGATAACTGTCCTCCTAAATCTTTGCTAATTTGAACAGCCTCTCCTTGCTTTTGGATCGCACTTGTGCCCAGCGCGTGCCCAGTTCTACTGTCCAATGGAAAACCACTAATCCAGCTAGTCACGCTGGCAGGAGAACTCAAACATCAATCACACTTGGTTTCCTGGAAAGAAAAATTTAGCGGCAAATTTTCCCTTTTTTTTTGGGGGGGGGGGTGGTTGGAGTTCGGGAGTTGTTGGTGCCTCCACGACACTCTGCCTCCAGACAGTTCACGGCACCCACAACCCTCGACGTGCCACCCCGCCCGCCTCCCGGGACTGCGGACCGGGAGCGCTAAAGCCTAACTCGCGCCGCTTCACCCGACAGCTCTCCGCCTACTTTCCCAGGAGCTTCCTCGCCGCGCTGCCAGTGAGCGCGCTAGACAGAGGGGAGCARGGCCGGCCGCGGGGATCTGCCGCCGCACAGCGCCCCGGCCGCGCCCGGGCCGCAGGTGACACGCGGCACTGAGTCCACMGGGCTAGGTGAGCAGCTCCGCCGGAACCCGGCGACCAGCTGAGAATGCAAAGCTGCCGGGAGCGGCGCGGTGCCCGGGGTCGCCCGGAACGCGGGCGGGTCGCCAGGACCGTTGGGGTCTCTGGCGCGGAGGTGGCCGGCCGCGGGCCTCCCSGGCCGCGCCCTGACGCCCCGGCCGCGCCCCGCGCGCCCCCAACCCCCGAGCGGCGCCGGAGCCGGCCCGGGCCGCGGGCAGCGCGCCCGCACCTCCACGTCGATGTCCAGGAAACCGCCCTCCGCCACCTCGAAGATGAGGCCCATCTTAGTGCCCGAGGTGACCCGCTCGAAGAAGCACTCCTCGGCGTGCGCGTCGATGCTGACGAAGTAGCCCGAGGCCGTGGCCAGAAGAGCGGCCAGGAGCACCAGGAGCTCAGCGACCGTCACCATGGTGGGGCTGGGGCCGAAGCCAGGACCCGGACAGCGGCCTCCAAAGCCGCCGCCGCCGCCGCCACCGCTGCCTCCACAGCCGCCGCTGCCTTAGTTCCGCCCCTTCCGGCTGCGCCACCCGCGGGGGCTGATGCGGGCGCCGTGGATTGGCGGGCACCGGCAGCTGCCACGTAACGGAACCACGGCGGCCGCCGAGGGCCTTACAGGCTCCGTGCGCACCGCGTCTGGACGGCGACTCCAAAAGGACAAAAACCATCATCCCCAGTCCTTTCGTGTTTAAAGTTTTTGTGAACTTCCCGAGAAAGAAGTTTCCCAATTTCCCCTTTCTCTCTCTTTTTTTTTTTTTTTAGGATTGTCCAGGAAGGTGGCGAAAGATTTGAAGGCAGAGATAGGAGTGGAGGGAATGGGAGGTAGAAGCCAAAAGCTATGAGGGGTTTTGTTGCCCCCCACCCACTTTCATCACCTTGTTTACCTGGGGATGGGAGGCTTGGGGACGCGTGCAGACGCCCAGGGACCTCCGGAGCTAACTCCCTGGGTGACAGAAATACACCTACATGGTGGATTCCTGGGTGTTTTAGGGACTGGGAGTGTGACTCAGTAGTAGTGTTTTTCTGGCATGCCTGAGGCCCTGAGTTCGATCCCCATTCAACGCAAAAAAAAGAAACTGCATTTGGTTAACACTAATGCACCTTATATTGCTGTATGCATGTAAGATCTTCACTGACAAAAACAATTACCATGTTTAAATTCCCTCAAAATAGAATTCTCCCCATTCCCCCAAAGTCTTGCTACCTCTCCACACCCCCTTATCTCTTGCCAACTGCTGGGATTGTCGTTTCTGACCTCTGCCTCCTCGGGGCGTTGTCCTACTTGTCCCTCAAAAACTCTATGTCCGACTCTTCTCTGAAATGTTCCTAGACATCCCTCTGCCCAATAGGAGTCCCTTCCTCTGCGCTTGCAACACAGATTTGTTCTTACTGGACTAAAGTTATTTACTAATCTGTGCCAGTAGGGTATTAAGCTCCAGTCTTGGAAGTATGATGTCCCCTCAATCACTACTTCGCTGCCACAAATGACTTGGCTCATTACATGTGAGTTGAGTTCATCAAACTAACCCTGGAAAGTGGAACCCGGGTTGCTGCTCCCTTTGGGGCACAGCTATGTGACTTGATTATATTCCATCTCCTGAGCCTCGGTTTCCTTCTCTGTGAAAAGGGTTGACACCACATGCCTTGCGAATTTTTTTACAAAGAAATTWTTTTTTTCCCCAAAGTCCAACAGGCAATAGGGGGCAGTAGTGGCCCAACATCCAGTCCCACTTGACGAGTCAAGATATCAGGTGCAGCTTCCTTGAGGAAGACTTGAGGGTTCCAACAGTGGCCCAGTTTTTCCAGTCTCCAGGCCTTCAGAGAGCCTGCTTTCCCTGGCAGGTCAGTTATATAGAAAAGTGACAAGAACAATTCTATAAATTCAATGCTCATTTTTAATTTTGAACCAATTAATATTTTTTTAAAAGATCTTTATTTTATTTGTTTATTTTTATGGTGCTGAGGATGGAACCCAGTACCTCACAAGTGMAAGGCAAGCGCTCTACCGCTGAGCTATAACCTCAGCCCCACCAATTAATGTTTTAACTGCATCTCTCGAGGGATTTAAAATGCGGACACTTAGCATCTCAGTGGAACACAATCGTAGGGGTTTTTGTTGTTGTACTTTGTTTTGTTTGTCGAGACTGGGTCTCCCTAAATTGGGGAGGCTGGTCCTCAAGACCATCCTGCCTCAGACTTCTGGGCCTGTGGAATTACAGGTGTGCGCCACCACACTTAGTTTGAGTTGCATATTGTGGGGGTTTATTATATAAATGAGGGGACCCTAACTCAAATGCCTTCAATGATCAGGTAGTTTATTGCTTAAGCAAGAGGGAGTAAAGAGGATTGTGACAAACTAAATCTCATGAATGTTGTAGCKAAATATGTTCTGTTCCAGACAGGCACAGTGGTGCACACCTGTAATCCCAACAATTTGGGAGTCTTGGAGAGGAGGATGGCAAATTTGAGATCAGCCTCAGCAATTTAGTGAGACCTGGTCTAGATGAATTTTAAAAGTGGCTGAGGAAGTAATTCAGTGGTACAATGACCTGGACTGAATTCCAGGATCAAAAAAATAAAAATACAATCAATTCCAATTTTTGAAAACATACTAGTGGCTAAAGATGTAGCAGGAAAGCATCTGTAAGTTTACTTKATTGATTGATTGATTGATTGGTACAAGGGATTGAATTCAGGGGCACTAGGCCACTGAGCCACATCTCCAGCCCTGTTTTGTATCTTATTTATAGACAGGGTGTCAGTGAGTTGCTTAACACCTCTCTATTRCTGAGACTGGCTTTGAACTCACAATTCACTGGGATTACAGGCATGCGCCCAGAAAGTTTACCTCTTATATTATGAAAGTAATTGTCCATGTTATGTCCAAGTAGAAAAGTGGAAAAGAGATAAAGGTAATGCTAATCATAGTACTTTAAAATAATCACTTATTAGGGGCTGGGATTGTAGCTCAGTGGTAGAGCAGCTTGCCTAGCATGTGTGAGGCACTGGGTTTAATTCTTAGCACTGCATGTAAATAAATAAAAAATAAAGGTCCATGGACAACTAAAAGAAATATAAAAAAAAATTACTACCAACCACGAGTTGTGTTTCTTCTCATAATTTTCATTTAATTTTTGTGTTGTTGAAGTCGTAATTAGTCACCAAGTGTCTTTTGACATTACTGTTTCAGGATCTGAAGTCAAGTTAATCCAAAGAACAACAGACTCTCAGGGGCTTGTCAGGTCACCCAYAGTGACAGTAAATGTGTTTTTGTTTTGTTTTGTTTCGTTTGATTTTAGACCAACTCTGCGGATGTTGCTCAAGCTGGTCTTGAACACCTCCCTCAGCCTGCCGAGTAGCTGGCACTCCAAGGGCAGGAGCTGTCATTCCAGCGTAGTCAATGTGCACTTTTACACTTATCYGCACAGATTGGTTGACAAGAGGTCTTGAGCCATTGTGCACAGGAAAACCAGCACAACCAACAATTGTGCCATACTTGAATGATGAGAAACCTGTCCACTGGGGTGTGACTCCAAACTAACCAGGGGACACTCAGCATCCAGTGAGGTGCAATCCAAAATRTGCCCASCTCCCTCCCTCCCTCCCTTCCTCTCTTCCCTCCTGCAAAACTGAGATTCAATTTACGGGGCACAGAATTCACCCTTGTAAAGTGCATTAACTCAGCGGATTTCAGCATATTCACAGAGTTGTTCAAATATCTCCAAAACATTTTACAGACCCTAAAAATAAAAATTCTCGTAGTCATCAGCATTTACTCCCCATTCCCCTGAGCCTAGCCCACAGTCTGCCTGCCACCTTTCTGGATTTGGAATGGCATGTGACACCACGTGGCCTTGGGTACTTCTGGTACTCAGCATCCTGTTTTCAAGGCTCATCCACGTCATAGCATGTGTCAGGGATCCGACCTTATTGATGGAGAAAGAGCATCTGGATGTGTGGACGCCACCTTGCGTTTCCGTCCTCCTGTTGGTGGCCATTTGGGTTGTTTCCCCCATGCCATAGATGTCCCTGCACACGTGTCTGTAAGGACATGGATCTTCAGTCCTCCTGCCTACATACCTGGAGCAGATGAAATAGAATATTTCTACCTGGAATCAAAAGGCACATGCAGGGACAAGGAAACAGGGCCAGAAACTGATGAGGAGTTTGTGTCCACAGCAACGGTCAGTCCTCAAAGGCCGGCAAGTTTTGAAAAGAATTTCAAAAGGCCATTTGAAATTCTCTTCAAAACTCTCTGCTGCCTGGTTATTAATGTTCCCTTTCCCTTTGGGTCCCAGAGAAGTCAAAATATTAGGGAAGATTAAAGCACTCTGAAGAATTTCCTTTTACTCCTTTTCTTTAAATTTTTAGTTTTAAGATGATACTTCATTGAGAAAAATACCAATGACATTCTTCACAGGACTAGGAAAAAAAAGTCCTAAAATTCATTTGGAAGAATAAAAGATCCAGAATAGCCAAAGCAATCCTAAGCCAAAAAAGCAATGCAAAGGTATCACAATCTCTGATCTCAAATTATACTGCAGAGCCATGGTAACAAGAACTGCATGGTACTGGCATAAAAACAGACACACAGACCAATGGTACAGAATAGAAGACATAGAGACACACCCACACAATACAGTCATCTGATCCTTGACAACACTTCCAAAAACATTGCATTGGAGAAAAGACAGCCTTTTTAACAAATAGTGCTGGGAATGATGAGATTAGACCCTTGTCTCTCACTCTGCACAAAAGTAAACTCAAAATGGAAAAAGCRTCTAGGAACTGGGCCAGAAACCATGCAACTCCTAGAAGAAAAGGTAGGTATAATTCCAATAGGTACAAGCAAAGACTTCCTCCATAGACCCCCTAAAACTCAGGAAATAATTCCAAGAGTTAATAAAATAATAATAAAATAAAGACTTAATAAAATAATGCCAAGAGTTAATAAAAAGCTTCTGCATAGCAAAGGAAACAATTAGGAATGTAAAGAGAGAACCTGCAAAATGGGAGAAAATCTTTGCTAGCTACTCTTCTGACAGAGGATTAATAACTAGAGTATATAAAGAACTCAAAAAACTTACACACACACACACACACACACACACACACACACACACAAAATAACCTAACTAGTAAATGATCGAATGAATTAAGCCAATATTCAAGAGGACAAATATAAAAGGCCAACAAATATATGAAAAAATGTTCAACATCACTAGCTCATTAGCAAGTAGAGAAATGCAAATCAAAACTACACTGAGATTTCATCTCACTTCAGTCAAAATGGCATTCATCAATAACATAAATAATAATAAATGCTTGAGAAGGGCTGGGGTTGTGGCTTAGTGGTAGAAGGCTTGCCTAACATATGTGAGGCACCGTCGATCCAAAGCACCACATAAAAAGTAAAGTTATAGGGACTGTGGCTCAGCAGTAGAGCACTTACCTCCCACATGTGARGCACTGGGTTGGATCTTCAGACCACATTTTTAAAAAGTAAATAAACAAAATAAAGATACTAA